GTGTGTGTGTGTGTGTGTGTGTGTGTGTGTGTGTGTGTGTGTGTGTGGCAGTCGGGGGTAAGTGGGTAACAGATGCCCAGAGAGAGGGGGACACAGATGCAAGGGGTTGACAGAGAGCCCAAGGGACACAGAGAAATGGTAGTGACACAGGAGGCCCCATCAAACGTAGATGGAGGCAGAGGTAGGAGACAGAACCCAGAGAGTGAGAGTCAGAGAGAATGGAGACAGGAGCCAGAAACACAAGTGTGCTAATGTTCTTGGAAAAGCTGCCATAGGCTAGGCTCCTTATCCTGCATTAGCTCCATAACCCCAAGAGAGGAGACAGGCTCCCAGAGTGTCAGTGGCTTGCCCAAGATCCCCGGAGGGAAAGTGGCAGGAGTTAGGTTGACCTGATCCACCCCCTTGCAGAGGCAGGCCCTGGCCTTCCAGCACTCCCTGCAGTGAGCTGAGGGGTGGGTGCAGCAGAGAAGGAGACAGAGGCCATCATGGGACAGGAGGTGACAGCACGGCAGTCAGTAATTAATGTTCTAACAAAATCTCTGTATTAAACTTTTCTAATGCGCACAGGGACACTGCCCGGGCAACCCTGGCTGGTGGCGGTGGGGCGAATGGGTTGTGTGGAGAATCTGGGGGTCAGGGAGTTCTTACCCCCTTGCAGATGGCCACAGCTTCCCGGGAAAGCGACTTGGGGTAAGTGACGGTTTGTTCCATGATAGCCTGAAACAGCTCTTCCTCATCCTCCCCATCGAAAGGGGGCTGAGGAAAGAGAGAGGAGAATGTGTCAGGACTTGACAGACTGCCTTTCCTCACCTTGCAAACCCTCAGCACCCACCGTGAACATGAACACCCCCCTCCAACATCCTGGGGAAAATTTTGACGAAACCACCAAAGCATTCTCTCCCTTCCTCTCAGACTCTTGTTTCCTATCTCAAATGGACCTTGTTTCCTATCTCAGCTCTCTGCACCTCTTTGCTGTTCTGTCTTTCTCTGCTATGCAAAATCAGCAGGGTGTTAATTAGACAATATGTCATTTAAATAGAAGAGAGGAAAAAGTGCAGGAAAACTGTAAAAACATTCTCCTGGTTGGATGAGTGGCCTCCAGTCTTCTGGAATTAGGAGACACAAAAGCAAGGCAAGGATTCTTAATGTGGGGTCTAGGAAGTCTGTTTGTGCAACTGAAGGGGCCCGTGAGCTTGAATAGGAAAAAAAGCTTATCTTTATTTTTAAAAATCACTAACTGCAATTTCTCATTCCCTTCAGTTATGAATGGTGGGCAAAAACCACAAACAGTTATGAAGTACTTATGACTTCATCACCAACAGGAATCACAGATAATTTCTTATCACATTAGAGTTGCAGATATCTCAAAATATTAGTCATCTCAACTTCAAGATTACTGGTAGACTTGCCTATTTACTTCCCATCACCATGAGATATCACTATTTAATTCATGAATAGGAAATCACATATACATCCACATCCCTATGTGTAATATTTAGGCAACTGTATACATTTAAATTGAATGTATTTAGTTGGCTGAACTAAGTTAAATCAAAATTTTAAAGTTTTGATAACCATATTTCAATATGATTGATTTCCTTTGTAATCCTATTATTTTATTTCATAGATTTAAACACATTATTCTGGGGTGCCTGGGTGGCTCAGTCAATTGAGCATCCAACTTTGGCTCAGGTCATAATCTCACGGTTCGTGAGTTCAAAGCCCCTGCTTCAGATTTTATGTCTCCCTTGCTCTCTGCCCCTCCCCCACTCGTGCTCTGTTTCTCTCTCTCAAAAATAAATAAACATTAAAAAAAAAATTAAACACGTTGTTCTGAGATGGAGTCCTTGTCACCAAAAAAAAAAACACCAAAAAAACAAAAAACGTTTAAAGAACCCCAGGCCTGGGGTGCCTGGGTGGCTTAGTCGGTTAAGCATCAGACTTTGGCTTAGGTCATAATCTCACAGTTCGTGGGTTCGAGTCCCCTGTTGGGCTCTATGCTGACAGCTCAGAGCCTGGAGCCTGCTTTGGATTCTGTGTCTTTCTCTCTGTTCCTCCCCTGCTTGCACTCTGTCTCTCTCTCCCTCAAAAATAAAGATTTAAAACAACAACAACAACAACGAATTTAAAGAACCCCAGGCCTATGGGAAAATAATGCTTCAGGACCAAGGACAGCGCTATCCAGGCGTGATATTCCCAACTGCTTAGCACCCCTCCTTAGATGACAGACATCACTTCCTACCCTGCTCCTTTAAGATAAAGGCCTTGTAACAGGTAGCATCCCCCGCGGTGTTGCCTTTAGGCAGGCCAGCCTGTCCCCAGCTTCCCTTACCTGTCCTGCCAACATCTCATACAACAGAACCCCAAAGGACCACCAATCAACAGACTTTCCATAGGGTTGGTAGGCAATGATCTGGTGAGAGAGGATGGAAGGCAAGGTATCATGGTTTGTGCTTTAAGAAGCCTAAGACCCCCTCTAGCCTCACCCCCAGAGAACCCTACCCACACTAAGTGTTGTCAACACAAACTCTTCCCACTCAGAACACTTCAGTTCCATCTTTTTGGAAAATTCAGAAACAAAATTTTCCTACTTAGAATGTTCCTTTGGTTCCAAATATGAAGATTATCTAAGGACCAAGTCAAAAGTTCCACCCAGCCAAAATATTCTGGTAACTAGACCCTCTCCTTACAATAACAGGTGCATGAGGGCTAATTTTCAGACACCAGAGATTTTTAAATCTGGATGCATTTAAGATTCACCTAGGGGGCTGTTCCCTAGCCCTAAAGAATTCCAGCCTCAATAGACCAGAGTGAGAGTCAGTAATATGTGTGTATATTTCAAAATCTCCACGGGTGATTCTGATTCCCAGCCATGTTTTGAAACCATTGACATTATTTGGGCATTAGCATTGAATCACCCAGAAAGATTAAGGATGACACTTCCTCCTTCCACTGAGAAAATTCAGGACACTCTATCTACTTACATACAGTCAGATCATTAGCTCCACCCCTTTAACAAAAAGTTAGCGTATATTCCACCCACCTGAAATATTCAGGAAATGCTTAGGGCTGGGGGGGGGGGGCAGGTGGTGGAGAGACACAGGCCCCACCCACTCAAGAATACACCTTCTTAGAATAGTCCTGTAACAGGTGCTATTGTCTGAGAATTGTTACCAGTAGAGAGGGTTCCACTCTTTTAGAACACTCACCCAACTCTGTGCCCACTTAGCCTGTTTAGACACCCAGCTCTGCCCACTTGGAATGCTGACACACAGGCCTTTCTGCTCTGTTTGCTGTTAGATCACCCATGACTCATGCAAAGACCCCAGGGTCAGGGGGCACCTGGGTGGCTTAGTTGGTTAAGCAGCTGATTTCGGCTCAGGTCATGATCCCATGGTTTGTAAGTTAGAGCCCTGAGTCAGGCTCTATGCTGACAGTTCAGAGCCTGGAGCCTACTTCCAATTCTGTGTCTCCCTCTTTCTCTGCCCCTCCTCCACTCGCCCTCTCTCTCTTCTCTCTCTCTCTCTCTCTCTCTCTCTCTCTCTCTCTCTCTCTCAAAAATAAACATTAAAAAAAAAAGACCCCAGGGTCAGCCCCCCGACATTCTGAATGTTAGACAACTGGCCATACCCACTCGGCGAACTTGTGTAGCACCAAGGACAGCCAAGGGAGGGTTACCTCAGGGGCTATGTAGTCTGGGGTCCCACAGAAGGTGCGGGTGGTGGTCCCAGGGAAGACGTTCTCCTTACACATGCCAAAGTCAGTGATTTTGATGTGTCCTTCAGCATCCAGCATCACGTTGTCTAATTTCAGGTCCCTGGGGGTAGGGGGTTGGATGGATAGGCATTGAAGGAAGGGTAGCGTTCAATGGGCTGGAGTTACAAGGTTTTGATCTTTGTTTTGTTTTTGTTTATTTTAGAGAGAGAGCACGCACATGCGTGAGCACAGAAGAGAGGCAGAGAGAAAGAAAGAATCCCAAGCAGGCTCCACGATCAACGCAGAGCCCAATTCAGGGCTCAATCCCACAACCCTGGGATCATGACCTGAGTCGAAATCAAGAGTCAGATGTTCAACCGAATGAGCCACCCAGGCACCCCTTTGTTTTGTTTTTCAAGTAAGCTCTAGGCCCAACGTGGGACTTGAACTCAGGATGCCGAGATCAAGAGTCGCATGCTCTATGCACTGAGCCAGCCAGGAGCCCCTAGAGCTGTAAGTTTGATCCCTTTCCCTCTAGGGGCCTGACTGCCTCCACTGAAAGGCCCAGACTGCTCACCGGTAGATGATGCCCTGATTGTGAAGGAAGAAGAGGCCGATGGCGATTTCTGCTGCGTAGAACCTAGAGAAGGAGGTGGGAGTTAGAAGCTCAAAGGCTGGGGTCCCCCTCGCCCCACCCCTCCTCTCTCAGCTGAGACTCACGCTGCATGGGGCTCCTTAAACTTGCCCAATTGCTGGATGTGGTACATCAGGTCGCCCCCGGTGACATACTCCATCACAAAATACAGACGGTCCTGCCGGAGAGGCGGGGTACTGGTGCTTAGAGGGGGTAGGACACGTCCATTCCTGCCCACTCGAGACAAACTTGGAAGGCTCCAGATCCACCCAATCAGAACTGGGAGGTCCCAATGATTCTAACCCAGCCAGCTCAGAATCTCAACCTGCCATATCCCCTATTACTCCGAACTGGTCCCACCCTCTTAGAATTGAAGGCTGAGGCCCACCATTCCCTGGAAATCCTAAGGATACCAAAACCTCTTTCCATAGCTACTCACACACAAAAGCAATCCTGACCACCTGCTAGGAACCAAAGATTTTTTTTTCAGGCCTCACTTGCAATGGATACTAATTTCTTTCTTTCTTTCTTTCTTTCTTCCTTCCTTCCTTCCTTCCTTCCTTCCTTCCTTCCTTCCTTCCTTTCTTTTTAAATCCAGGAATCTAACAGTGCGACGCCTGGGTGACTCAGTCGGTTGGGTGTCTGACTTTGGCTCAGGTCATGATTTCACGGTTTGTGAGTTCGAGCCCCGCATCCGGCTCTGTGCTGACAGCTCAGAGCCTGGAGCTTGCTTTGGATTCTGTGTCTCCCTCTCTCTCTCTGCCCCTCTCCCACTCATGCTCTGTCTCTCTCTGTCTCAGAAATAAATAAGCATAAAAAAATTAAAAACAAACAAACAAATAAAAGCCTCTGAAGGTTCTGACTTGTCGTCCCATTCCTCAATCTTCGGGACGCGCACCATTTCTGATGAGACATTTACTCAGAATCCAAGAATGACGACCACATTACTTAGCGCGCAGCTATTGGCACACCACTCACGCACTCCTTTACTCAAAACTCCTTCACTCAAAAAAAAAAAAAAAAAGAAAAAGAAAAGAAAAAAAACCCACCCACTCAAGACCAAGCTGGCTCAGGTCCCGCCTAGTCAGGATCCCACCCATCTGGCCACGCCCAGTCAGAGTGGGCGGGGCGGGGAAGGTTCTTTTTGCCTGTAAACTCAGAATCCCAGAGCAGACGCTCGACCTGAGCCGGACTCTGCCCCCTCCTTCCTCACCGGGGTCTGGAAGGTGGAGTGCAGCTGGGTGAGAAAGTGGGGCCGGCCTCCCGGGCCTCGGCCCCCCAGGGCCAGCACGCGCTTCTCCACCAGGGTGCAGTCCACATCATCATCCTGGACAATCACGTCTTTCTTCAGGATCTTGATGGCGTAGAGCTCATCAGAGCCCCTGCGCTCAGCCAGCATCACCTAGCGACAGAGGCCCCAAAAGGCCCAGTCCATCATGGGGTCGCTGCCCTCCCCCTTCAGAGACACAAAGAAATGAAATCCCAGATCCTCCCCCTCTCTCTCAGGGACTGGGCACCCTGGTTTTGCTGACCACTCCCTCAGGGAAAGCATCAGAATCTTTATGCCTGTCCTCTCAGAGGCACTCAGGTGTCCCACTGACCCCCCTCTGGGGGGCTCAGTAGTCTAGTGTCCCTCCCCATGTACCTCCTTCCTAAGGACCAGAAATCTGATCTTTCCCCAGACAGCTCCCCCTTCCCCCAGAGCCCCAGGAATCCAACCTTCCCAAAGCTGCCTTTTCCTAGAACCATGAGGAAGCTGAAGTCGGAGATGTGCAGACGTCCAGGGCTTGTCCCAAAGAAACAGCGTTTGGAGTCCGTGGGACTAGGGGATGGGGAGGGGATGGGAGAGGAAGAGGGACCCATCCGCACCCGCTGTGAGAAAGGAGAGAGATCCGAAGGTAGTCAGACCCCAGATGGGGACAAGGAGATGTCTCTAAGAGAGACAGCAGCCAAGAACGAAAGGGATGAGAAGAGAGGGAGAGAAAAGGGAAAACTGTCTCTGCCCCCCCCCCCCCTTGGCTTTAGAACTTGTGCTGATTTTCCATAACCTGGAGGGTTTATCATTTAACTAACACTCAGACAGATCACTCTATGCTGTTAGATAACCCTGTTATCACCACCATGCGCCATTTTAGAGAAGAGAAAGTTGGCACAGAGACACTAAATAACTTGCCCAAAGTCACACAGCAAATAAGCAGCAGAGCCAGAAATCAAAATCCATTAAAGCCAGAGACTGTGTCTCCCCCCTTTTTGCATCTTCAGCATCACCCAGCGCCTGAACACCTTTACCGCTCCTCCCCACCGAGTCTCCACGGAGCCTCCTCCCTCTTCCCCCCCTTTGCCTCCACCATCTTTTCTCTACAAACAGCATTTGTCTTGTTCTGACCTAAACCATCCTAGGCCACCTCCGATGCTCCCACGGCCCACCGGTTTAAGATAAAAATCCTTCCAGTGAAGGACAAGGCACGCTCCTTCCCTCTCTGGCTTAATGTCCTACTTCTTCCCACTCTCTCCCCCCTTCAGCCCCACTGTCCTCGTGGTGCTACAGACACGCCTCGCCCGCTCCCGCCACAGGCCTCCTCCTCCTGCTGCCTGGAAGGATTTCTAGCCTTTAGCCTGGAAATATGGTCTCCCTCTCCTTGCACTTCCTCTGGGGCTCCCCTCCCTAGGAAGCTTTCTCTGGCACTCCCAGGCTGAGCCAGGTGCTTCCAATTCTCCCTAGTGCCTGAGGCTACTAGCTCTATTACCAAACATCTTCCTTCCAGGAGGATGTCTCCATCTGTCACTTTCTCCTACTTTGAAATCGGAGCTCCCCAGGGAACGGACTGATTCTATGCCCAGAACAGGGTTTGGCTAACAGGGAATAGGTGTTGAGAGAGTGAGAAAATGAATGGAGGAGAGAAAGGCCACAGTGAGAAATAGAAAAACTCAAAGTTCACTTCAGCAGTCACCTCCTCAGGGATTCACCCTCCCCCAGCACCTTCCCCCCAGGCTGGGTGAGTGTCTCCTCCAGGCTCCTGGGGGGAGGGGGGGGTGCTCTACCTCTAATGCACTACATCATCCTGGAATTTAAGTATCTGTGACTGTGTCTCCACCTTGGGGACTTGCTTAAGGGTCAGATTCACCTCTGGAATGCTAGGTTTACTCAACAAGCACAAGACCACCTCCAAACCTGTGCTCATCCCGCGTGTGTGGGTGTGAAAACTGATACCAGGGGAGGGAGAAGACATGGGGAGACAGACGTAGACCACAAGGCATGAAAATGTCTCCATTCCAGGCCTGAGCTCCACGCACCTCGTACAGTTCCAGGGGGTAGTTACAGGCCTGCGGGGAGAGGGGGTGGAGGAGAAAGCCAGAGTCAGAGCCCCGAGAGAGGTAGGAGGATGCCCTAGAGCAAGGGGTGGGGACTCCAACCCCCCCAAGCCAAGGGGATGGATAGGAACTCTAATTCCCATCATACCCTGGGGCAGGAGTCCCCTAGAAAAGCAGAGGGAAGGGAGCTCCAGGGTCTTCTGGGAATTGTAGTCCCAGGACCAGTGGGCAACCAGTGGGTGCAGGGAGGGGGCAGCTCTGAACTGTGGGCGGCAGGGCTGGGCTCCCCCTGGGAGAAGTGGGGCCTGAGTACCTCAAACTTCTGGAGGAGGCTGCAGTTGTCAGCATCAGCCACTGGCACATTGTAATATTCGCCCTCCTCCTGGTTCAGTAACTTGTACCTGACATACAGAAGGAGACCAGAGTGGGGCAGGAGTCGGGCAGAAGGGGGGCACCCGCGGGAGAGGCAGAGGTATCAGAGGGGGGAAAGAGACACAGAGAGAAAGACACGGAGATGGACAGAGTGGGATAGGCAAGAGAGACACGGAGTGGGGGACACAGGAAGGGAGGAGGAGGGGAGAGGGACGGGGACAAGGGAGGGAGAAGTGCAGGGAGGCAGAATGAGGGTGGCCCAAGGAGACAGACCGTACACAGAGATGGACAGGCCAAGGCACAGCCTCCGCCCCTGCCCTGCCCTCACCAGCCGTCCACCGGCGCCTTGAGCAGCTCCGAGACCCCGAAGGACATGGCGCCCATGAAATCGTTGCGGGAAGTCCGGTCCCAGTCCCACACCTCCACGCTAAGCCTGCGCTCCACGTCTCCTGGCTTCAGGTTGCTGCGGGAAGGGGGCGGCGGAGTGAGGGTCCAGCTCCCCGCTGCCTCTGCTCCCCATCCCTGGTGATGGTGGAGCAGGCAAGCCCTTCTGGGGCGAGCTGGGGTCTGTTCCTGCTCTCTAAAGTGTCCTGTCGTCTCTGATCCTCCACGAAGGGGGTCTCCCCCAATATCAGGACCTTGAGTACATGTAGACAGCTCTCAGTCTCTCTCCGGTCCTCCCACATTCTTGGCTCCTTCCCATCCCTGTGTCCTGTCTTTTCTCTCCAGATCTCTCTCCTGAGTCTCTGTGCCCCCCTCCTTCCTCTAGGTCTCTGTCCTTCTGTCTTTCTGTTGATTGGCTTCCCTTTCTATTCCTGCCACCCTCCCCTGCTCACACCCACTCCCCATTCTGTCTCTTTGGGTTTGTGCCTTCTTCTGAGCATCCCCCCCCCGCCCCTCCGATCTCTGTTTCACTCTAAAGTAGTGGGCTTTGATGGAGATCAAATGCACAGATATCTGTCTCTCTGCTTCTCTAACTCCAGCCCTCTCCCTCAGCCACTCTCTTCCCTCTCCCACCGCCTTTTTTTGGGATCCTCCTATCCTAACACCTCCCACACTTTGCTCTCTGGGGTCTTGTGGGCCACCAGGACCCTCCGATCATTCTCTGTCAGTCATCACAGCATCCCCTGCACCCGAAGCTCACAACACAAAGGTCTCGTTCCACACAGGGTTTAGCGTGGCTTTCACGGTCCGGGTCTTTTGCTTTGTCAAGTTCCGAGGGTCTGGGATGAGCTTCAGCTTCACGTAGGGGTCAGACAGACCATTAGGGTCCATTGGGATAAGGTTACGGGCCTCGCCAACTGAGAGAGGAAGTGAAGGGGTGTAGGCTGGGTTAGAGACCCAGGAAGAGGGCCTGGAGTTTTCCCCAGTGGCAATCCCAAATCCAAGCGCTCAGCCTTTCTCCTGACCCAGGTATCCAGAAGATGAGGCATAAAGCCCTTTCCCCAGCCAGGGACCCAGAAATCGGACCCAAAGCCCCCTCCTCCCTTAGGACCCCAGAGTGAGGACCCTGGCCACATCACCCATAGTAATCCCAAGCCTCCCTCGGAACCAGGTTTTCTCTCATCCCCCACTTCCAAGGACCTTGATCTAAAATGGCCATTAAGAGGCCCTGAAAGGGGCACCTGGGTGGCTCAGTTGGTTAAGCATCCAACTTCTGCTCAGGTCATGATCATGGGGTTTGTGGGTTCGAGCCTCACATCGGGCTCTGTGCTGACAGCTCAGAGCCTGGAGCCTGCTTCGGATTCTGTGTCTCCCTCTCTCTGTCTCTCCCCTGCTTGCCCTTTCTCTCTCTCTGTCTCTCTGTCTCTCAAAAATAAACATTTAAAAAATTTTTAAAAAGGGGCACCTGGGTGGCTCAGTCCGTTGGACATCCGATTTTGGGTCAGGTCATGATCTCACAGTTGATGAATTTGAGCCCCGTGTAGGGCCCTGTGCTGACAGCTCAGAGCCTGGAGCCTGCTTCAGATTCTGTGTCTCCCTCTCTCTCTTCCCCTCCCCCTCCGCTCATGCTCTGTCTCTCTCTCTCTCTCAAAAATAAATAAACATTAAAAAATTTTAAAAATAAAATAAAATTAATTAATTAATTTTAAAAAATGGCCCTGAAAGTCACAAGTCAAGGCTAGAGTCCAGGCTACAGGTTGGAAGGGGCGTGGCTGGGTGGCGCTCAGCCTTTGCAGACGGGGGTCGGGATTGTGGGCGGGACCTTCCGGTTCGGCTGGGTGGGCCGCTCAGGTGCACCCTGCCCTTCCGGCGGGGGTAGAAGGGGAGGGACGGACAGAGGGGCGGGGCCTCACCTGTGACGTGGATCTCATCCGCCGTGGGTGCTCGGATCTCCAGCTGCAGGCGCCCTCGGCGCTCCGTGTGGTCCACCCCGCACAGAGAGGGCACGCTGCGCACACAGCGGCGGTGCACGTTCATTTCGCAGCCTGGGGGAGGGGAGGGGGGGACAAAACGGGAGGTGGCACTTCTGGCCGCCCCTCAACTCCAGACTCCGTCCCCCGGCCCTACCCGGAACCCAGACACTGTGCTTTGGCCCCCCCCCCCCGCCGCGGAGGGCTAGGTTCGGCCAGGAGCAGCAAGCGTGGACTACTCACAGGAGCATTTCATGCCCTGGTGCACCAGCCCATAAAGAAGGGAGCCACAGTGGTCGCAGAAGGTGGGGCTGCTGTAGCTGTGCAGACGGAACTTGTGCTTGTTCCGGGGGTCCTGGGGGCCGAGGGGAGACATCAGAGGGGGTAAGGACAGAGAGAGAGAGAGAGAGAGAGAGAGAGAGAGAGAGAGAGAGAGAGAGAGAGAAGCCCTTTGAACGCTTCCTCCTTCCGCCTTGCTCTCCCAGTCCCGCTCCTCCTCACTCATTCACGCTACAGTATTTATTGAGTGCCTGCTGTGTGCCAGGCACTGTTCTTGGTGCCAGGACCAGCCGTGAACAAAGAAACAAAAACTGCTGTCCACATGGAGTTTACTTTCTAGGGAAGGGAGGCAGAAAATAAACACTGTGAATAAATGAAAGAGTATGATGCATGGTAACAGGTGCTCTGGAGAAAAACGAAGCAGGCAAGGGTCAGCCAGGGGTGGGGGCGTTTAAATTTGCATAGAGTGATCAGGGTGGGCTTCGCTAACCAGGTGGGATCTGAACAGAACCTGAAGGTGGTGGCGTCTCCTATCTTCCCATAGTCCCTATGCTCCACCCCCCCTCCCCAAAGCTATTTTCGAGCACTTGTGGGCCACAATGAACGCCAGATCCCTCACTGTCAGCCTCTGTCAATGTCTGCACACTCTTGATCTGCCTTCTCTGAGCCCCTTGTGAAATGGGGAATAGAACCTCTCCATTAAAACGACCCCTCAGTTAGTGAAGGACCAAGTGTCGGGGCGCCTGCCTGGCTGGGTCGGTAGACATGTGACTCTTGATCTCGGGGGTTGTGAGTCTGGGTCCCACACTGGGTGTAGAGATTACTTTAAAAAATAATAAATTTGGGGGCTCCTGGGTGGCTCAGTGAAGCATCTGACCTTGTCTCAGGTTGTGATCTCACAGTTTGTGCGTTCGAGCACCTCGTTGGGCTCTCTGCTGTTAGCATGGGACCCTTTGGGGATCCTCTGTCTCCCTCTCTCCTCTGCTCCTCCCCCACTCATTCTCCCTCCCTCTTTGATAAATAAAACTTTAAAAATTAAAATAATAATAATGATTAAAAAAGAAGAAAGATTAAATGTAAACTGCATAGCAGGGCCTGGCATGTTAAATGTGCTAAGTACGGTTATTCTTAGTGCTGTGGTTACTACTAGTGATTTTATTGTGGTCCTCACATAGCCCTGGGTTTAAATAAGGGCGAGGCCATTTACCAGCTGTATGATTTGGGGCAAGTTAGTGCCCAGTTTTGAGCCTCAGTGTCCTCCTCTACCCAGTGGAAATAATCTAAATCTTGAAGCAATGCTAAATGTCCAGAGTGCAATTAAGCATGAATTTAGGACACCAGTAAGACATTCCTTCCCCACCCCTGGCCATGTCTGAGTGTTAAATAAGTTGGTATTTGTCTTTTTCTAGGAATGCATTGCAAAAGTTATCATAGGTGATGGGGCACCTCGGTGGCTAGGTCAGTTAAGCATCTGATTTCGGCTCATGGGTTTGAGCCCCGCGTCGGGCTCTGTGCTGACAGCTCAGAGCCTGGAGCCTGCTTCAGATTCTGTGTCTCCCTCTCTCTCTGCCCCTCCCCTGCTCACCTCTCTCTCTCTTAAAAATAAATAAACATAAAAAAGGAGTTATCCGACGTGAAAATTCTGGATATTCTCGGGCTTTTATTTTACAGGTTTTTTTTTTTTTAAGTTTATTTAAGAGAGAGTGTGCGAGCAGGGGAGGGGCAGAGGAGAGGGGGGAGAGAGAATCCCAAGCAGGCACCACACTGTCAGTACAGAGGCTAACGTGGGGCTCGAACTCGCAAACTGTGAGATCATGACCTGAGCCGAGATCAGGAGTCAGATGCTTAACTGACTGAGCCACTCAGGTGTCCCCTACTTTGCAGCTTAGTGGGGACTCTAATTTGAATGACACTCAGGTGCGGTGATCTCTTTCAATGCTCCCGGCCTCTAAAGATCTTCAGCTGACCCTAACTCAGCTGCACTAAGTGATGGTCAACATAACAGCCCTCAGCAGGACACCGGACAGGGACACACAGGCTCCACCACTCCACAGAGAGAAGCCCTTATTATTCTCAAGGTGAAATCACTACTAAAAACGAGACAGGACCACAGCTCCAATTAGATAGATTAGCGTCCACATTTTGACTCTGCCCACCATCCAGCTCTGTGGCTCCCCGCCCCCCCCCCCCCGCCGCCATCGCCGCTTTGCAGAGACCCAGCCATCCTCCCTATAAGATGGGTCCATGAGGCCTCCCTGAAAGGGGTCTAAAGGAAATCATGCTTGCCAAGCCTTCACCATTTCCTTAGCCCTTGATCCACGTTACTTACAACAAGATCAAAAGCATTAAGAAGAAGAAGAAGGGAAAAAAAGCTGGAGTGATATAGAGGAAGACCTCTCCTCAGTTTTTGCCTCTGTTTCTTCATGGGAAATAGTCATAATTCTACAAGGATGATAATGGATACATTGTCTCTTGTCATATATCAGGTACCGTCCCAAATACTCGACTCATTTAGTCCTCAAAGCAATCCTGTAAGGCAGGCATGATCATCAGCCCCTTCTATAGATGAGGAACTGAAGGGGTGCTCAATATATGTTCTGTGAAATCACATTCTCTATGCAAAGTTCGATTTTCTTCGCCTAACCAGCTGGCAAAATGTCCCACGGACTTCCATAGATCTCTCTCTCTCCCTTTCTCTATCTCCATTTTTCATTCCGTCTCTTTCTCCATCTGCTAATCATAAAACTATCTCCACCCCTCTGTCAAAAGCTGGGCTAGACTCTGAAGTCACTCGGCTTCGTTGAACTATCAAAACAAGCCTGGGGAGGTGGGGGATGGTGCCTGGGTGGCTCAGTCAGTTGAGTACCTGACTTCTGTTCAGGTCATGATCTTGGTCATGATCTCCAGGTTTGTGGGTTTGAGCCCCATGTTGGGCTCTGTGCTGACAGCTTGGAGCCTGGAGCCTGCTTTGGATTCTCTCTCTCCCTCTCTCTGTCCCTCCTTTCCTCACATGTGCATGTGTTCTCTCTCTCTTTCAAAATAAATAAACATGAAAAAAAATTAAAAAATAAATTTAAATCAATTCAAATTAAATGGAATTTTAGATTTCCATTCCTCAGTCACAGTGACCCCTCTCAAGCGCTCCTCTAGCCAGCTATGCGGGGCTGGTGGCCGCCATATTGGACGGCATAGACAGAGAACATTTCCATCATTGCAGAAAGCTCTATTGGTCAACACTAGACCTTCAGCCCCATTTTATAGAGGGGAAATTGAGGCTCAAAGAGAAGAGCCCCCAAGCCAGACAGAAAGTGAAGGGGCACATAGGATCCACTGTTCTTTTTTTTTTTTTTAATTTTTTTTTTCAACGTTTATTTATTTTTGGGACAGAGAGAGACAGAGCATGAATGGGCGAGGGGCAGAGAGAGAGGGAGACACAGAATTGGAAACAGGCTCCAGGCTCTGAGCCATCAGCCCAGAGCCCGACGCGGGGCTCGAACTCACGGACCGCGAGATCGTGACCTGGCTGAAGTCGGACGCTTAACCGACTGCGCCACCCAGGCGCCCCAAGGATCCACTGTTCTTGTAAGTGGATCCAACATCCCCCTGATGTGAAGGGTGAAGGGGAGGGAGGGAGACAGAGGTGTGTGTATCTGTGTGTGTTCATGGGGGACCTGTAATGCACATGTTTGTGCTCATGGGGGATATATATATATATATATATATATATATATATATGCACATGTGTGCGTGTGTGTGCATGAGGGATCTGTACTTGCACATGTGTGTGAATGTGCATTGCAGGGTCTCCCTGGGCCTCCCTCTTGGCAACTTCTAAGCGATTCTCCATATCTACCATTTTCTATTCTAGCTTCTCTCTCTGGGTATCTGCAGCCCTGTCTCTCTGAGTTTCTTGTCTCTGTCTGTCTCTCTCAGTCCCTGTGGCTTGCCTTTTCCTTCCGCCTGCGTTGCTGTCTCTGTTCCAATCCTCTGTCTGTCTGTCTGTCTGTCTCAGTCTCTCTGTCTGGGTCTCTATCATTATCTTTTTCCGCATTTCTGTGATTCTGTCTTATCTGTATCTGCATCAATAGTTGTCTGTCCCTCAACTCTCTGTTTTTTTTAAATCTCTTGACCCCTGGATGACAGCCCACCCTCTCCAATGTTGGTCTTTGGTCCCCTCACACCTGCCTCCTCTCTGTCCCCCACCTATGTCCCCAGCCTGCTCAGCCCCTCTCACTTCCCCTTTCCAGGCCAAGGGCAGGGAATCTGGGCCAGACTAGCTCCCCCTATCTCTCCAGCCCCCCTCCCCTCCCAGCCTTAAAAATAGCAGGAGAAATTGGGACGGACGCCGAGGGGGTGAGGGCGGGGGTGTGGCCCAAGGAGGAAGAATCAGGTGTCCGGGCACTCACATCCGTCTGGGGGCCCTTCCCAGCGCCTGGACACTCGAAGGTCACAAATTCGTGGCATCGTCGATGAACCACAAAGCTGCAAACTGAAGGTGAGAATCATAGAGACACAGAGACAGAGAGTGAGCCTAATGGACAGAAAATCAGAGAGAAGGAGACTCCAACAGAAAGAAAACCTGAGAGGGGGGACCCCAAAATAGAGTTCAACAGAGAGCAAATCAAAGGAGAGACCCCAACATGGAATGGGGGAGAAAAACCAGGAGACAGAAATTCAAGAGATGGACCCCAAAACAGGCAAGAGAGAATCACAGAGCAGAGAGAACCCAGTGCCTACACACAGAGACGCAGAGACGGAGTGAGGACGACAGAGAGACAGGGACACAGAGAAAATAGGATCCCGTCGACAGAGACAAGAAAGCAAGAAAAGAGGCAGGCCAAGAAGGAGGGAGAAACAGACAGAGGTCCTCTGATAGAACGGAGAGAGCAGCAACTTGGGCAGAAGTGAGTCTGGGGGCGCCATTGCAGGCCTCCCCCTCCCTGACTCACTCTGTTCTCAGCAGTGGCAGCTGGTGCTTTAGGACTCGCCCCCCTCTCCCGCCCCCCAGAACTGCCAGCCCCGCCCGGCCCCCACCCGCCCATTGGTGACCCCGCCCGGGCCTGCCCCTGCCTAGGACTGTTGGTGTTGTCATGGCGACAGCAGCTTGAAGGGGGGGGGGCTCTGACTTCGCATCTCCAGCCCCCCCTTTCAGCTCCCCTTTTCCAAATCTCTCTGTTCCCATGGCAACAGATTCTCCAAATATCTGTCCCCACCTGGAGCCGGCCGAGGGAGGGGCCCCCGGCACCACCTCCGCGGTGGCCCCGCCGTCAGAGCTCCCTCCCCACCGCAGGCTGTGTCTTTGCCACACCCCCCGCCCCGGGCTCCCCCGCGCCTCTCTGGGGACCAAAGAACACGTGTGTCAAGCCTCCCGGGCCGTGGGTCCCCAGCCTCCACCCTCCTGAGGGTCCCAGGAGTCCGAATCCCCAGCTCTTACCTTGACATTGCAGGCCCTGTTTCCCAATGCCCCTGCAAGATCAAGGATCAGAGGTCAGTGCAGAAAAGGGTACCTGGGCCTCCCACCTCTGCCGGCCACACTGCGTCTGACTCCCTCCTGTAGCAAGACCCCGGAGTCGAGCCCCAGCTGCCTCGTTTACTAGAACCCAGAAATTCTGGCCCCCAGTCCTTCTTCTCTCAGACCCAGGAGCCCAGGCCTCCAGCTCCTCCTCCCTCAGAACCAGGAATCCGGGGCCCCAGCCCCTCCTCCGTCAGACCCTGGGGTCCGAGTACCCAGCCCCTCCTCCCTCAGACCCAGGGGTCCGTTTCCCCAGCCCCT